TTTGAATTACCTGTTCCACCTCCCCAAACTGTCTGCTCTCTCTCTCTCTCTCTCTCTCTCTCTCTGACGTACTGTAAATCTGCCATTTGCCTTTTCTTTGTACAATATTAAGGCATCTCTTCATTTTGCTAAAGAAAGAGAACGAAAACTTATTTTGCTGTGTCATTTCTTTCTTTTAGTGCTCAAATGGCCAGTGAATTTAGTTATAATCATCCTATATCTGCAAAGTGGTGTTGCTAATGAACAGTTGCACATGTTCTTGCTTCCTTGTGGTTGAAAGGAATAGAAGCAGAGCCTTTTGAAGGCAATTCACATGACTATTTATATTTTTACAGGAACAGATTTTGGAGGGTTGAATCTTCTTGCCCCTTTGCAATTGCTCTTTGCACATTCCTTTCATTTTATTAGGTGCCTTAGACCTTCCATTGATCACACTCAAGTGCAACCCTTAAAAACACCACCACTGTGCTGAACATCTTTAGTGGTTTTACTTATTAACATTCTGACTGATAATGTCATTTGAAACAGACTGATGCTATATTTTCTTATTCGGTTGCGCAGAAGAAGAAAAGAAAGGTGGCCGCTTTTCACCTCAGTTTGTTCATCATCCATTTGGATCACATTCTGGTGAAGAGCTGGATTTCCCAAGCTATTCTCAGCATTTCCCCATTCATCCTCAAAATAAGTTGTGTTATTCTCCAAAAGCAATTGCTCATAGAGAGGAAAATATGAAAATTGTGCCATCAACACTATCAAGTAGATCTGACGGAACTACAAATGCAGCCATTGAAAATTGCAACTTGATTGGGACAGAGTTTGGACGTGGAATTAAGATTCAGGCCTCTGTTGCTGACTTGCTGTGTGCTGAATGCAAGAAACTACTGTTTCGACCAGTGGTTCTTAATTGTGGCCATGGTAATCTCTAATAAACTGCATTTACCCAGCTAAAACAGAAGAAAGAGAAACATTATTGTCAAGTACTTAATCTAATATCTTCTCTGTGCAGTGTATTGTGAATCTTGTATCACCAACCCCATGCAAGGAATTCCTAGGTGTCAGTTTTGTCAAAGTTCGCATCCAAATGGGTTCCCGGGTGTTTGTTTCGTTCTAGAGAATTTTTTGGAGGAGCACTTTTCTGAAATTTATGCAGGGAGACGAGAAGGTTTGCCCAAACTTTAACTTGTCAGTATCAAAACCTTGAACTTGTATCTTGTCATTTGCTCTTGTTAGTGTCTGGGCTTCATTCCCAAATGAATTATTAAAGTAACTTTACCGAAATATAAATTTTTCTATTAAGCTACATCACTCTTGTGTGAGGTAAAACTTAAGCAAATCAACCTCTTAATAGAGACCGAAGAAGGAAAAAATTCCTGAAAGTTTTCATTTGATAGTGATGATAGGCTCACTAGATAAAATGAGAAATATGGAAAAAGAAATTAAGAGCAAATGGGGTTGTCTGTTCAAATTGTCTCAGCCTTTCTTCTTCTCAGTTTTCTCCTAGATTGGTATTGCTTTGGCATTCTGACAAAGAACTTCGTTCTGTTTCTTTCTTTGATTTGTCACTTATTTTCCTCTCACATTTGGACACATGATGTGTGCGTTCACAGTAGACAGAAATCTTAAGAGAAAAATAGTTTATCGCATCTATACTTCTGTACAACAGTACATGTCAGTCAATTAGGAAAGATAAGGAGTAATTGAAGCCAATTGACTTCACAACAAGTCTAACCCTACCATTTTCAGATTTTTCCCACATTGTCAATGGGCTTCTATCCAATCCATATAATTTTCAAATAATTCATGCACACATGCAGATTTTGTTTTGGGTCCTCACGCATTGTGTGCCGGACAACTTGTTTGCGTGAGCATGTGTTGGTTGGTGTTCCTTCTTGAATTTGTTCACTTTCTTATAAGTTGTCATGTTGCAATTTTCATATTTATGTGTTCTTTTTGCGCTGAATGTATCTTGACTTCAGGTTCAACACAAGCTCAACAACTAGCTCCACGGTCATCACCAGTACCTTCTAAGGTTTATTCACCATGGATATTTGGCAATGGACCAAAGGTTCACATTGGAGTTGGGTGTGATTCTTGTGGGGTAATGTTAATTTTTAATTCCCTTTGTCTATCGTGTTTGATGATTGCAAAAGTAGTTTATATATGTATGAACAAGATTCAATCTCAGATGCATGATTTCCTTTAGAAGGCTTGACACTTCTGTTGAATGCGTTCTCATAATTGGGATGACATCTTCTTACTTGTTACTGTATCTATCCTTGGAACATCCCTTACTTTCCCTTTCTGTGCCTATTATTGTGCTTATTCTCATCAATTACTCAACAACAATGAATTCCCTTTTTGAAAATCTCTTGCTAGACATGTTATTCTTATTAGAGTAATGTGGATTTTTTACTTAGGCTGCGATGTGAATGTTACTGTCATCCTAAAATGTGGTTATGTTGCTTTATTCAAGAAAAGTCGGTAAATATTTATCGAAAGTACATCAAGTACACTTGGGTAGTTCAGTTATTTTTACAACACAGCTAATGCAAACTAGTCTAGCATGTCATTTTTGTTATGGTAGAAAAACGAATTCAAAAGCTTTGAACTTTCATGACAGATGTTGCAGATAATTGGGGAAAGGTACAAATGCAAAGACTGTTGGGAGGAAATAGGGTTTGATGTGTGTGAAGCATGCCACAACAATCCCTCCTACATCCCAGGCCGATTTAATCAGCAGCATGAACCAGAGCACCATTTTGAGATTGTGCAGCCACAGGGCAATGTTGAACATGTACACATGCAGGATCTTGATCAGTCTGATTTTCCAGAAGATGAAGATGATGATGAACATGATTTTCTTGCTCCAGTCCTGTTAGATGATGTTTTACCGGATGTAGAAGATGGCTCTAATGGTATGGTAGATGTTTCTGCTTTGGTTTTGTCAAATGATGCTGCACCAGATCAAGAAGATGGTCCTGATGTCTCCTAGGTCAGCTTTGACTGGAGAAAAATCGACAAGGTACTACCGCCAACGCTAGTTTGCTAGGTGAGAAGGTGCAATGATAGAAGAAGCGTGATAAAGGAAAACGATAGTTAAAAGAGATATGATTAATTATGTGATAAAACAAGTTGATTAATTTCTGTACATATCTCATAAATAAATGAATCCATGCAAAGGCAATTATCTGATCACAATCTGTAAACCCCAGATCATATTTATTGGATTTTTATTTTTATTTTTTATGTAGTGAATGGATTAGCTCCGCATATCATCATCCAGAGTTTAAATCCCAGAGAAATAAATTTATCGTAAACGCTCTGTGCATACACATGAAAACCTCAGAGGGATTTAGCCTTGGTATAAAAATGCATGTTCCCAATGAGAAACTCTACGGTAACTCACAGGTGACTACATGTAATTATCTCACTGAAGAGCGTCTTTAGCGTACCTATCAAGAGTCATTTAATGATTTAAATCAAGGTTTTTTTTTTTTTACTTGTATAATTTATTATGAATATTTACAAAAATTACCATTCTACATGCTCCTCCCCAGTCAATCTTTAAGTGAGCTCCTCTGTTTATCTTCTTGTTCTTTTTGTACAAATAATACCATGGAGTTCAAGTTTCGAGCTCTAGACAATAGGGCGATGCCAGTGTACTAAAGTGTCAGTTGTTTTGAAGAAGAAGCATTGCAAGTCCCATGCAATTTTCTTCTCTTACCACTAATCTCTCTAAATCTCTGTTTCGAGTCTATTTCCAAATATTGTTTGTTTTTTTTTTAAACAAAAAATTATTTGCACAGTTAGGAACAACCAACCTAGTAGATTGCGCTTTCCTAACAGTGCAAACCATATGCTATTTTCTCATAATTGTTTTTTATGTGTTCTTTTTGGAAAGTGTCATTTAAAAAAAAAAAAAAATCTGGCTTTTGACTCGTATTTATCATTGTTAGATTTGGTTTTATTAAAAAACAAGACCTAAAACTCCTCTATAGTGATTTTACTAGAGTTCTAAAGTCGTTAGTATTGTAAATAGAAATTATAAAATAACTATTTTATCTTTATCAACAACAACAAAAAAAAAGCCTTGGCAATGAGGGTAATAAGATAGTTTTTTTTTTCCATATTAAAAATAACTAAATTACTTTTTAAAGTAAAAAAATATTGAATTGGTCTTCAGGGACTATTTTGACTTTTCTCTTTCTACAATACAGTAAAATTATTTAATTGTATTTGAATTTAAATTATCTTAAGTTTATATGAAGGGGCTCTTTGGTATTTTTATTATGGTAATTTTATAATTATTCAGTATGGTAAAGAACAATTTGATACTAAAATACTCTTCAAAGCGGAAAAAATATTGAAATGGTCTTTAGGGGGTGTTTTGACTTTTCTCTTTCTACAATACGACTTAATTGTTTTTAAATTTAAATTATCTTGAATTTATATCTATTTTATTTAATATTAAAAAGATTTTATTTAATATTAAAAAGCTAACGGCACATGTTATCCATACTAACACAAATTATTATGTTTGTGGTTTTTAGACAATGCATGTAATATTTTCCAATCCATAACAACGTTTGAATCCTCATAATAACACCTTCATCCTTCATCATTCGATAGCACATGTGACTAATATCTTTCTAGTTTGGAAACAATGATCTCTTCTTCTTTTTCTTTTTTTTTTTCTTCTCTTTCTCCTACTTAATTTCCATATTTGTCCCTGTAAATTTTCAAATCAACCTTTCAATTTATTTTGCTTCAAGACTTGGTTTTTATTCTTTTTATTATTTGTTTATTTTAAATAATTCATGAAATTAGAATTTTCTTTCAATTTCATCATCTTTTGATTTTTTTATTTGTCAAATTTAATTTTTATTATTTTGATTTTGATTTTTTTATTTTCCTAATTGAATTTGTTTTTCAATTGCATCTTTGAATGCTTTATTTCCTTTAATTTGTTTTCAAAATTTTATTTTTTATCTCTAAAATATCTGTATAAAAAGTTTTAATTATAAATTTATCAAATGAATATAAGTAATGCTAAAAATAGTTATTATTATGATTTTAATATCTAACTCAAGGCAATACCTGAGTTATAGGTTAGAAGGGTTAATCCAAGTTAATCTAACAAAGTATTTCAAAAGGATCTAAATGATATTATTTTGAAAAATATTTTTTTAAAAAAAAATTAATAGGTTTTTAACCGAATTAGACTAAGTTAGACAATCATTCTTCTATTTTTTCTTAAATATAGACCGATCGTGGCCCCAAATTGGCTAGGTCTTGGGTCAACTCACTGAGATGATTCGAGTTTTATAACTGAGATTATTATAATATTATTAATTTCAATAATTAATATAAACTAAAGTAAAAAATAATATCTAATTATTATTTTTAAATATGTAAATTTTATAATAAAATATATTAAGAGTAAAAAAAATTTTGTACATATTTTTTATGCTTTCATACCATCAACCAAACAAAATATAGAGATAGTCATGCTCTCCTTTTACCATTACCAAACACAATTTGATCTTGTCTTCTGATCTATTTTGTCTCATATATCCACCTTATTGGGTTTATTTAATTTTTTATCCATTTATTCAATTATTTTAAATATAATTCTGGATTAATATTTTTTTAAAAAATAGTATTCAATAAATATGTTTGCTTAATCTTTTTATAGATAATTTTAATTAAGGTTGTGTTTGGTTAGTGTTTAGGATAAAAATGACATATATATATATATATATATATATAATTTGATAGAAAAGATAAAGATATTGAACTTATGTAATTTCAAAACAGGAAATACATAAAAACATGGTTTTTATGTACTCATTGTTTTTATTTTTCTAGTCTTGAAATAGGAACCAACGCTACCTAATAATAGATGCACATAAAACCCCAACTCATGACCTAAATAATAATGGAATCCACATCCATCAACTTTGCGTGTAGTCGGGTGTTAACTTATGAATCAAGCTTCTATTATATCTATATCTAATTTATTATTTATTAGATACAAATATAAATATTTATATCCTATCTATCATGTCTCAGTATCCATTCAAGTATTCAGTATATGAGTTCTATTTCTTATTTAACATAAAATAAAAAATATAGATACAAAAAATGTTAGTGCATGTATATATAATTATAAATGATATGCATATTATGTCAATATTAGAATATGGAATTAGATTGTATTAAAAAACATAAATATCTTACACACATGTTTTGATTAAATTTAACAATATATATACTTTACATATTATTTATCAAATAAAATAAAAATTAAATAACCAAATATTTAAATAAGTTGGTTCAATTTTTACATTCATCAAATTAAAATTAAATTATCATACCTTTTAAAAGTGTGGTTGCGATTGTTTTTTAAAGTACTTTTTATTCTGAAATATATTAAAATAATTTTTTTTATTTTTTAAAAATTATTTTTAATATCAATACAACAAAATAATTTAAAAACATTAAAAATTATCAATTTAAAACAAAAAAATAAAATTCAAATTTTTTTAAAAACATTTTTAAAATGCAAAATCAAACAGGTTATACCCCATGAAATAACTGTCTTTCCTCTCCGCCTATCTCTCGATATGCTCGGTGCTTCCCAAAAAGTAGGGGAAATCATTACTTTTTCTTATTAATTAATTTAGTATTTATAAGTTTTTTTTTTAAATAAAGTCTAAGCTAGATGAAAATAAGTTAGATGAAAACAAGGATAAATTTGTTTATGGGCTAAGCCTAGTGGATTATAAAGTTTGGACTTGTACAAAAAAGATTACAAAAAAAAAAAAGGATCTAATCTTGTAAAAAAATTTGCAAGTGAAGTTAGGCAATTTCAATTATGCCTCCTCAAATTATGAAGTAACGTAAAGAATGAATAGTTAATAAATGGTTATCTATAATATTCCCTACATAACTATTGAGGATGGAGGAACACAAATCAATTATATTTGCTATACAATTGAAGCAAGTTCTTATAATTTTCAAAATTTATTTATCAATAGGCTTATAATCACATCAGCTATAATCAATAAATATTTAATTTGTAGGCAAATAACTTTTCGACTTATATTTTATAGGTGATAATTGGTAGGCTTGCAATTTTTATTATTAATATATATAGTAGTTCATGTTTTTCTATCAGGAAATTTTTCAGTATGCATTTGTAATTAATTGAAGAATCATCTAATAAATCTAAGTTCATTAATCTTGACTGTTATGTTATTTTTTATATTCAAAGCATTCAAATTATTTGATTACTCCACAAGTTTTAATTTGTTTCCTACATATTAAAAGACTATAAAAATTTTTAAACATTGTTACGAGTGTGAAATTGCAAGTATGGAGTTGTAAGAACATTATCATAGTTCAAATCATTAATATTAAATTTAATATTTAACTTTGAAAATTAAAGTTTCTAAATTAAAATAGTTACAAAAAACCTCGAAATAATGTAACCATGCAAAATGAAAAAGATACCAAACATTTCAATCATTTTAAAACAATATATAACAAGAACCTCCAAACTATTTTAAAATACTCATATGATTTTATTATATAAAAATTTAAAAAACTATTCTACAACACCCTCCCAAGATTTCAAAAATTTATATAAAATATTATATAATATATTAAAAGGATTTAGTGTCTCTTTTACTATTTACTTAGAGATAAATTACTGTAAATTAAAATAGAATAATGATAGAGTTATCTTTACCAAAAAAAAACTTGCTAAGCATGCAGTAAAATGGGATGAGATTGTCTTTTTTATAGGATGCATTTGATATTAAAAAAATAATTAAAAATAAAATTGTCAGTTTAGATTTTGCTGGGCATGATAGGATTGTCAGACCAGAGGCACTCGATCATGGCAAGACCATCAATCCCAGGCATTGGGACAAGACTTTACATATATATTTAAGACTCTTAAATCTAGCTTGAGAAAAAAACCTAATATTATTCAACTTTAACTTTTTTTAAATATTTTTTATAAAAAAGAATTATTCCACAGCACCTCACATACTACCTAGCTACGTACTAACATCTAGAAGCTAAGGAATTTAATTCAAGCCAATATTATTCAATTGTAATTAGCTAAAATTAAAGTCATATCATCTTTAAACAAATGCGTGGAGTGGAAGCAACTGGAAGTTAGGTTTCCACATATTTTAGTAGACTACTTCTCCTTGAATGACAATAATGGCATCTCCAACGGGAAAGTTCTATGAAACA